CATGTGACCATGTGTATCATGTGACCATGTGTATCATGTGACCATGTGTATCATGTGACCATGTGTATCATGTGACCATGTGTAACCATACGACCATGTGAGCATGTGTATCACGTGACCATGTGTATCATGTGAACATGTGTATCATGTGACCATGTGTATCATGTGACCATGTGTATCATGTGACCATGTGCACCATGTGATCATGTGGCCATGTGACCATCTAGAGTATCATATATTTGTTCAACAGTTGAGCATGAGAAGACACGTGAATATGGATACCACTCATGCAAACAGAGAATCTTATAGGTGGGCGTACTGTTTACATTTCCAAAAATCAACTTTTGAGCCATAAACGATTGGACTTAAGAAATATAAAGAMGTCATAACTGTTGATAATATTTATCAATTTGAGAGCAGTTGATTCATTAGTTCAGGAGATATAATAAATTAAAGTTGCTAAATGATCAAAACAAATGACGTCATTGTACGCCCACCTATTCCCAAAAGAATGACACATTGTCTGATATGGTAAGACATTACGCCCAAGCGAAAGAAATCTATTTTTAAATTTAATCAACACTTTGAAGTTTGGTTAGAACAAAGCGTACACGATCTTTAAATTACTGTCTGCGCTTGTGTATGTCATAATGCTTATGCTTGCGTCGTTAGTAAAAACCAGCAAAAATATTAAGATAGTAGTGATATCGCGAGTTGATAGATAATATTTAAGATAAAATATACGTTAAAAATTACCCTGCGAGCCTGTAGAGGAGGTAAAAGGAGACTGCTGCTCGCATGGTAGTTAAAAAATATGTCATGATTAGAAAATAAAATATAATGAAAGAAACCCCTTATGGAATAACAAAAATACAAAATACAAGTTTTTTTTTACAAATTGAGTTGTCTTTTCGTTTCTACACATTTTTACTAAATTTTATTATTGTTCATGATCATTAATTCTTAATAAAGAAATATTTGATCAATTATTAATTTAAATTTATTTTATGGAATCTGGTAAGCTAGGGGTTAATGGATTTTGCTTTTTAAGCTCGGGTCAAACGTCGAACTTCACATGAGCCAAACCTAATTGAAACAATGGATAACAAGGCGGTCTTCTGTGATGTCATTAGGTTCGGCTCATGTGTAGTTCGACGTTTGACATGAGCTCAAGTTTTATTTAGCAGCCGGAATCGCCTTTAATTTTTCTTTAATAATATTATTGTTTACATCACGCCGGCCGCATGCAAAATATTAACGCTTGATTGAGAAACAGCCGCACGTGTGGTGGGGATTTGGATGTTTAATAATATTGAGACGAATATCTGTGGAAAGTAATTATTTATGCAATATTTAAAAGGAGTTTATCAGGATAGAAAATTTGGAATTGAGAATGGAAAAGTTTCATAAAATGTACGCAAAAACAGTTATAGATTTACCCTGCGAGCAGAGATTCCCTTTTCTATCCCGCTAGGGATAGAAAAGGGATAGAAAAGGGAATCTCTGCTCGCAGGGTATTATAGATTCTAAATCTTTTATGAAAAAAATATATCGAATTTTGTGGATAACCTCTGTGCTGATCGAAGTCAGGGAACGACTAACTCACACATATCCCGAGTCTTGATCGAACCCGAGATCTCAGAGCCGAGAGGCGAGTGCCACCGCAACGCCTTCTAAAAACTTATGAGTCGATGAAACGGTGAACTCAATAAAATGATGTGACCAGCGCCCTAATATAAAGTATAACGTCAAAACCAACCTTTATCTGCTAATGGAAGTCAGTGTTCGTTCATAGGCAGACTGAGACAGGCAGACAAAGAGAGTCGAAATTTTGTATGCAATTGCATTTTGTTGGGCTTTTTCTGCTAACACATCTCACCGGTGAGCAATTTTATATAATGATCGTGAGACTGAATTTCTAAAATAATTTGCCAACATCTGTTCATGTTTTAACCATTGCTTGACCATAGCATTTTATCTTTCTTTCTTGTTTTCGTTTTGTTTTTTTTCTTCTTCTTTTTCCTTTGAAGGTTGCTTCTTGTGCAAATACTTCAAACACCTGCGAAAGTCATACCGTGATGGCATCGAAGAGGAACCACATTGTAAGTACTTCTACAAATCAAATCAAAGATCGACTGTTTAAAGCCGTTCAATTGATCGATGTTAACTGGAACTCCCACGGCCTTGTCACTCTGACTTCTACTTCAAAAGCCAAAAGCCATTCTATTGAACAAAAACACAAAAGCTTGAAAATCGATTTATAACTGATTGGTTTGGATTCTCTGCTTATATTATGACAAGAAACGAGCGGCTGTACAACTTGATTTCAAGCTACTAAGTAAACTAATATAAGACGTACCATGCCAAATATATACCTCATATTCAAAAAACAAAAATACAAACCATAACAAATAGTGAACGACTGTCTCAGTAAAGTTTTCTGGGATGAAGTTGACTTGCTATTCGGTGACATTCTACATGGTCCCCAATTTACAGACGTTTTTAGCTTGGAGCTACGCCATTGTTTCTATACCGACTATTTTGCTAAACTTGATTGTTCTGCTAGCAATCCGGAAGACACCTTCACTATACAGACCAACACAGACTCTCCTCGCCAGTCTTGCTTTAACAGACCTGCTTTACGGATTAGTCGTCATGCCTATTTTAGTAGCATCAAATATCTTGGCTCTACATCACAGCCAAGACTACTTCTGTAAAGTTTGGACCTTCGCGAGGGCATTTGGACACTGGCTAGGTGGAGTCTCTTTGTACACTCTCGCTCTTATTAGTATCGATCGTTTACTAGCCATTAAACTAAGGCTGTCTTTCCGAGTCGTGTTCACGGCGAAGCGATGTGTTATGGCTTTATCAGTTGGTTGGCTCGGGGGAGGATTTCTCGTTGGCGTTTCTTATGTGGTATCACTTATGTCCAAATACACCGTAGTTATTGCCATGTTTATATTAGTTTTCACTATTGTCACATCGTATGCTATGGCTTACTACAACTTGAAGAAAATAACCTCAATTGTAGTAGCTCCTAGCAACTTGAACGAGCAGAATAATCCCAACTCAAGCACCAGCTTCTCTGCATCAAGATACAAGAGATCTTTTAATACCATGTTGCTTATCCTTCTTACGACAGCCGTTTTTTACTTGCCAATGGCGACCGCGCTAGCTATGGAAAGTTTCATCCATCAGGACTGGACTCATCATGCTACTCGAATAGGAGAATTAATAATGTCTATTAATAGTACTTGCAATCCCTTGCTTTATTTGTGGTGCATTAAGGAACTCAGGGAAGCAGTCAAAAACTTCCTAAAGATATAGAGCCAGAGATAAGACTGCAACGGTGGTCGCTGGTCAACGTCGAAAGGGCGCCAATAACTTTGAACAACAGATGCGCAACTTATCCCGCTTTCAATCACATGCCATTGTTGCGAAATGAAATGGAAAGACATCCTGCCTAAATGGATTTGCGAAATTATTGTTCAATCGTTCAAACTGTCTTTTCTCATCAATTGTCTTCTCAAGAGATGTCAAGGACTACAAAGATGATGCCGACTTTGAACAAGTTCTGGAAAGGAAACAGTTTGAAGCATTGTTCTCTTGTTTTGAAATTTTACAAATTACGGATATTTTTCCACTTTAAACGTTTGTTAAGGCATCAGAATTGTTCGAAAAATTTTACTCACTTTTTATAAAAAAAAGTTCAAGGAGGAAAAAATTCTATTTAGGCGTTTTTTGTTTTGTTTTAGGAATTAATCATAATGTTATAAATCATTCCACTTTTTTTTCTAACCAGAACAATAGGTTAACTTTTAAGTTAACTTGAAAGCCACTATTTTTTTGTAAGAGTTCAAACGACATGGCATAATTGGCAAAAAGCTACACTTACGTTAAAGGGGCACTTGGATGAAAACGCCCCGATTTTTGAAAGTCCGAATAATTGAAGTATTCGAGGATAATATGACTCAATTATACTTATGGAAAAATGATTAGTGAAAATTTTAGCCTGGGAGCCACTCGCTCTTAAGATATTTTGGGTTAAAAGCAAAAAGAACAATAAGGTTGAGTAAATGACGTCATTAACTCACAACTTAGATGCTGATTAAAATGGATAATTTTTTCCCGCCACTTTTGACTGGAAGGAAACATGTTGCTTGGCTACTATCTGGGCCATATAGATATGTTTAAACGAGTTTCAAGTAATTTCCAATTTTCATTGATTCAGTTCATCCAAGTGCCCCGTTTAATTCTTCATTCAAGGCTTTACTCACGTCACATTAACAAATAGCATCAGTTTCTTATCTGTCTGTCCTCTTATTGATGATAAATTTCGTCATCACATTGTCAAAGTTTTATGTGGATCCACGAGTCGTACTACTTTGAGAATATGATGACGCAATTTATCGTCAATAAGAGGACGGACACATAAATAACTGATGTCAATTTGTTAATTTTACAATAACAAAAACGATAAAAACTTCTCGTTTTTAGTGATCAAAACAAGCAACGGAAAGAGCGCGCGCTCGTTGACGTCAGCTTTATCTGCCTGTTCTCTTATTCAGATAAAAAATGTTTTGAGGATAATAAAATAAATACAGAGCAAACAATATTGTTAACAGTAGCGTGTGTTTGTCACTTTTACTTTGATCAGCATAGATCATGGGGTTTCTGTCACAGTACGTACTTAGAGAAAATTTAGCATTTCCGCCTCCTCGCCCCTCTCAACCCTCATCCCCCTCCCCTCCCCCTCCCCCTCCCCCTCCCCNCCCCTCCCCCCTCCTCACATTCCCCCCTCCACCCTGCATTTCTTCGCACACCACAGCACGTGCGCACCAGAAGACAGCTGAATGTTACCCAGTCCTACTCGTACTTTTGTTTTTTCAAAATGGCGGACGACAGAAGGTGATAAAATTGAAGAAGTTTATTTCAACGATTGATAATTATCTTTTAGCCATGGATATTTTAGATGATGAAAGCAAAACTTGGTGGCTCATTTGCCCTTCAAACCATACAAAAAGACTCAAGTATGTGCGAACTTTGGTTTTCATTCCTTCTCAATGTTTGAAGTAACTTAGCAGATATTTTGAGTTTGGGGAGAAATCATTTTCTAACTAAATTTTTTTATATATAGGCTAACTTTAGAGAAATTGTCACTCTACAATCATCAAAGAAAGATATTGCCTTTGGAGGAAGACAATGGTAAGCTAGCAATACCTTTGAAATACGAAAAGTTTCAAGACGTTTTGAACAAAGATGAAGAGCTCAAATCTATAATAGAAGATTTCAACGTAACAATTGAACTCAAATATCTTCCCCCACAAAAGAGTAACAAGTTAAAACCAAGAGACAAGCTCTGTGAATCTGTTCGAGAATTATTTCTTCGCAAAGGATTAGTTTTTAAGGAAGATCTTTATCAAGATCTACCAAGTCACTGGGAAAAACATGGAGACTTGGTTCTTCTTTCTGACCAGTGCTTCCTATCTGAAGAATGGTTGCACGTTGGGAATGAACTGTGGACAGTCACTGCTGAAGCTCTGGGTGCTAAGAGGCTTGGTAAAAAATCAGCTATCAGAGATAATGACTTCAGGAGCCCAAGTGTGTGTCTCCTTTCTGGTGTAGATGGGTGGGTGTCCCATGTCGATAATGGGATTACATATACCTATGATGTTACCAAGTGTATGTTCTCGTCTGGAAATATCACGGAGAAGATAAGAGTTGGGGCCCTTGATTGCAGTGGGCAGACTGTCGTTGATTTATATGCAGGAATTGGTTATTTTGTTCTTCCATATCTTGTGCATGCTGGTGCCAGCATTCTTTACGCATGTGAGTGGAATCCACATGCTCTGGTTGCACTCAGAAGAAATCTAGCAATAAATCAAGTGGACAAAAGGTGTACAGTATATGAAGGAGACAACAAGATGGTAGGTTCATATTAATACCCTAGGGGTGGTCATTGTGTCATCTTCCACAGCTGTGAGATAATATATACTTACATATACACACATACACACAGAAAATAATATATAAACTAATTTGCTTATTTTTCTGATTATTTAAATGCAGTTATTTTCAACCAAAAATCAGCCAAATATCCAATATCGATGCTCACACTGTACATTTTGGTTATATTTGATATAGTTCCCACATAAGGGGATTGCAGATCATGTCAATTTGGGGCTTATTCCATCCAGTGAGGGGGCATGGCCAGTTGCTTGTGCAGCATTGCATTCAGATCATGGTGGATGGCTTCACATACATGGCAATGTAGCATCTAGCAAGAAAACAACAGATGAAGATCAGATACGAGTAAGTACAATAGTACTGAATTCTCTTGTTTTCTCACTAAACTTTGAAGATGACTTCTGCTCAGGTTGTTAAAATTCAGTCACCACCAACAACAGTCTTTTGCAAGACTACACTCCCCTGGACGATCACATTTCACAACAAACTTCACCAGCTGGGTTGAAACCATGAATTCTTTATTCTTAACTTATGAGTGTGTAATTAAACACTTCTCAAACTCATTAATAATTCATGAGGTCAATGACCAATGACAACTTTGCATTGTAGACATGTGCACGTACCTTGATACTTGATCAAAAACGGATCACGAATAAACGAATAATTGGGTATGAATTTTTAATCTCACAAGATTCAAGAACAAATGAATTATAATGAATTTGAGAAGTCAGTTCAAAAACTCGTGCTTCGTGTTTGATCATGGTATCCAAACACCTCAAAACAATAAAAGCACTTGGCCTAACAGCCTATGCTTTGATCTGTTTTTCGGTGTTTGGATGCCCTGATTGAACACTCGCACTCGTTTTTGATCTATTACTTATTGAATTCAGCTTTTTTGCATGATGTCATAAATTATCAAGACCTCTCCTGCTTTATTGGCCTCAGTCTGCTGCTTATGCAGATAATGCGACCTTGGTCTTAATAATATATGATATCATGCTGAACCCCCTCTAATAGTTGTTTACTATCTTTCTAAGGAAGACACAACACACACCATGAGCTCACCATCCTGTAACCAGAAGATAAAACCAGAATGGAAGGAATGGAGCAGCTATGTGTCAAAGAAGATCACAGAATTGCTGCTGCATGAGAATCCATCAAGAGCATCTACGTGGGAAGTCAGTGTACAACATATTGAGCATGTCAAGTCGTATGCTCCACACATTGATCACTTGGTTCTAGATGTTAAATGTGTACCATTACTAGAAAAATAGAAGCTACCTATAGAATTATTTCAAAAAAGGTTGGTGAAGTTTTTGCTGCATGCTGCATGTTACATGCCGCGTGTTACATGTTGCATGTTACGTGTCACCTGTTGCATGTTGGCATGTTGCATGTTGCATGTTACATGTCGCCTGTTGCATGTTGGCATGTTACAATTTGCACGCTTGTTGCAAGTTGCATGTTACGTGTCACCTGTTGCATGTTGGCATGTTGAAAGTTACAAGTTGCATGTTGCAAGATGCAAGTTGCATGTTGTATGTTTCATGTTGCATATTGCATATTGCATATTGCATCTGGTTCACTAAGCTTGAAATGTATTATTTTCATATTTAAATAATGTCAGAACAAAAGAAGTATACCGGAGGAATATAGAACCAGAGCAAACTTGTTGTTTCTATATGAAATGATTTTCCAGCTGATCTGAAATAGTGACGTAGAATGACATTACTGCAAAACTGAAATGTCATGAAGCCTGCACAAAATGACCAGTGAAAAATAAAAGCCTGTCCACCATTGCAATAACAATATAAAACTCCTTAGTTATTGTGTTCCTGCCATCAACCTCGTGTTAGCAACGTTATTATTTTTCATTTGGTGGCTTGGAAATCCACAATTTCAAGTGGAAAAGTGACACCTCTTTGCAAATTTTCTAGATTCTAATCGGATAACAAATTTTTTTCAGATCAGCTGCCGGGTTATTTTTAACTAACAATGGTAACACATAGCATATATATTCAAGTGATGACGTCATGTTAATTAATTTTCACTGTATCATATTTTGGTTCCTAGTTTCGATAGACAATCAAAAAAGAGGTTACACGAAGAATTTGTAATAATCGGTCAAATAGCAGCTGAGATTCGTCCTTTTGAATATAATTTCCCCATACAAAACACTGTATTATCGGCTCTGTTCCAAAGGTTGGCTGGTTATATATAAGATATAACAAAAAGAGACTAATGAAGAATCTTTTGTTAGATTCATCCAAGATGGCAGCTATGAAAATCGACAATTCAGATGAGATATAACGCATGATAGAATACTCCAATATTTGATTCGTGAGTTAACCGTGCCCTGTTTTTGACGTCATCGGCGCGCGCATGCCGACAGCGGCTTTGCGGCAAAGATTGATCTCAAACCTTACGTCATGTTTTGCTATCTGTATGAAAAAAGCACAAACAAAATTAAACAAACAAACAAAATAACAAATAAAATTGCGGAAAGCAAAGAAAGCACTAAGTAAGGTTATTAATTGCGAACTCTCCAAGAGTGAAAAGCGTTTTTAGACTGCTCCGTAAGTCAACGTACCAAACTTCGCCACTGGCTCAAGTACAGCATAGTAGAACTCATAAAGGATATTAGGTAAGTTTTTTATTATTTTTCGTTGTTAAAATATTCTTTTTCGCATTTGATTACATTGGGTTTTATGTAGTCTAGTCTTGACGATCTGAATATTCACTGAATTTAATCTAGTAATATCAAAACACCCGAAACTAAGGCCCCGTCCACACTATGCCGGATAAATTTGAATCCGAATTTTTATTTATTCTGTTAGGCCTACAGTCCACACTAGCCCGGGCGAATCCGGAACAATTCTTCGCCGAAAACGAATTTTCGAAATGGAACCAAATGAATAAAAATTCCGATTCAAATTTATCCGGCATAGTGTGGACGGGGCCTAAGTGATAGAGAAACTAAAGTGCAAATAAACCTTTAAGAAATATAGAATAATAGAAGACAAACAAACGAACAAACCAAAAAAAACCCACAATTTTGCTGCTAAAAAATAGGGTCTGGGGACGAGAATGTAACCCAGTTAACAAAATGACTCGATACTGACTTATGTCATGGTATTCGTGTAAGCATAGTTAATAGAGGTATGGTATTAGGTTGATTTTTCATTTCTCGGCTTAATTAAACTTTGTGTTTAATCCGGAACACTCCACCTTTTTTTACGGACTCAAAATTAGCATAAAAACTTTGGACATACTTCAATCGAAATAGAGCTCAACACCGCGTTTCGGTTTGTAACAGCTGTTGCTAGGAAACCAGTGTGGCAAATAAGATCTTGGTCATATGTTTTGGTCGGCATTTTATATTGAAAGACGTAAACCAACACGAGCCACCTAATTTATAACTTTCAATCCTCGACCACTAAGGAATACACCTATTTTTCAAAAAACGTTGTCGTCGCCAAAGGCGATAGGTGATAGAAGGCGATAGGCGATAGGTCATTCCGAGACGGAAATGGTTTCGTTGAATACAAACAACATTGAATCAGTCTCAACACTAAGGTCCATGTTCTTGACGAGAATGAGAAGCAGAAACACAAATCATTCCAGGTATTCTTGGATATTGGAATGACCTATCCCCTATTCCTTTTCGTCTCGCCTATCGCCTTTGTAGATTACAAGGTTGTTTTTTTTTTGAAATAAGTGTACATGAAATCCGGCGTGAACTCATAGCACGGTCGCCTTGACGTCATGGTACTGATCGGTCATAGCCAAATTTGCTCTTCAAATGAGAATAATATTGTCTAAAAGTGCCTATAACCCTTTTGACAATATTCTCAGTTTGATTCTACATGGGATAAGCTGTTGAATGACCCGAAAAAAATTCATAGTTTGAGTGCAGCTTCTTGAAGTTATAAAGATTTTCCCATGTCATATGCTAATGACTGTGACGTATAAAGAGGCATTTATGGTTATTTGTCGTTCCTTGTAGTTCGAAACACCGGCTACTATGTGAAAACTAATTTGCAATAATTTCTATAAGGGCACTATCATGGGCGGATCCAGCCAAAATTTTAGGGGGTGGGGGGCTAATTGAGTTTCTTCCGTCAACACTACGGAAAACAATATAAAAAAGCATCGTTTTTTTCTGCTGAAGGGGGGGCTTGAGCCCCCCTTTGCTCCCCCCCCCCCCCCCCCGGATCCGCCCTTGACTATGGGTAAACAATGACGTATTTCAAATTCCATTTATCTGTGCTCGTAATGTTTTGTATATTTAATCATTTTTTTATTTGTTGAATCATCAGCACAGTAAAAACATGGCCGTTACTTCAAGCGACAACGTCAATTTTGAACCCAAACCAAAACTGAACTTTGGCATCCAAAGATCTTCCAAGACAGAAGACAAGTACTCCGATTTCGATCCCTCATTTGTATTTCAAGAGCAGGCTCGCTTCAAGGCCAACAAGCGTACGGCAGAGACGTCTGTGAAGAATGTAACGATTGAAGACTGCGGAAAAGCAAAGTTAGCAAATGCTAACCAGAATGATCATTTCTTCACATCATATCCACCAGATGATTCAAGATTTATATTGTTAAAGGATGTGTTAACACCTATCGAGGTTGAAGCCATGGCACGACACCAGAAGCGAATAGCGCAGAAGGAGGCAATGAAGACAAAGAAATTAAGAGAAAACATTTGGTATTAGAAGACATTGTAATGATGCTGACAAGGATATAGGAATCCTTTATTTTCCTTTTGCTTTATTTTCTATAATTATGCACGAAATTTACCTCTTCGGCTTGGGCGTAATGTTTTCCCATTTCAGACCACGTGTCATTCCCTTGAGAATAATATTCTTTGTTTGAGTTGTATCCATATTCATGTGTCTTCTCATGTGCAACCAAGCGCTACCGTTAAACAAAGAAAGGATACTCTAGGGAATGACACGTGGTCTGAATTTGGAAAGCATTACGCCCAACCTCTGGGCAGATCCAAGTCAGGGCACGGCTAACTCACAGATCAAACCCTGAAACAACCTCTGGGCTGATCTAAGTCAGGGCACGGCTAACCCACAGATTGAATTGGAATTCAGCTTGTTAGGACAGTGTGATCACTGTCGGCATTTTTCTTTGAAAGATGTAAATTACAAATGTACCATGCTCCTCTTGATGAACCAAAAATATAATTTTAGACTTGATTAAATATATTGAGAGTTTCACTTGATGTGATTGGTCGAGCGACCAGTGAATACGAGACAATATTCACTTAGCTTCGCCTTTGGTGAATAATCGTTTATTATTCTGTGATAGCGAGCCAATCAAATTACTCGATGATTATAGGTTCACGTTTTTACCAAACTACACAGACAATAGAAATTAGTAAAAAATTCATTTGAGATATTATATTATAATGCTAAATCGCCATCATGGAAAATGTTCAAAAATCTATGTCTTTGAGTCTGTTTTTGTCTTTATATTTGTAACCAGTTTGAAGGAAGACGGAGTTAACGAAGCGTTCATAGTATCTTACGTAGCAAAATAGAAATGTTAAGGAATTAAAAATTGTTGTTCGTGATGTTTTCCATTTCAGTCCACGTGTCATTCCCTAGAGTATCATTTCTTTGTTTATCGGTTGCTCATGAGAAGACACATGAATATGAATACAACTGAAACAAAGAATCTTATTCTCAAGACCATGTGTCATTCCCTAGAGTATCATTTATTTGTTTAACGGTTGCGCATGAGAAGACACATGAATATGAATACAACTGAAACAAAGAATCTTATTCTCAAGACCATGTGTCATTCCCTAGAGTATCATTTCTTTGTTTAACGGTTGCTCATGAGAAGACACATGAATATGAATACAACTAAAACAAAGAATCTTATTCTCAAGACCATGTGTCATTCCCTAGAGTATCATTTCTTTGTTTAACGGTTGCTCATGAGAAGACACATGAATATGAATACAACTAAAACAAAGAATCTTCAAGAAATTTCTTTTTTCCCACTTGATAAATTTGATACATGATAGATTCAATTGACATTTCGTAAAAGCATCAATCATAAAAGGAGCAGTTATTTTATGATCCATGGTAAAAGTTATTCTTAATGAAGAATTTTAAACTTCAAGGTAAAAAGATATAGCTCAATACTTTACCCCAAGAGATAGGAATTTAAGAGATTTCTAATAAAAATATTTCTTTTTCTTTGCCTAAATTCTTTCGTGATGCTACCCTCTTCACATGGTGCCATAGTTAACAATTTTGAGGACACGAACAATATTAAAACTATTCCATAAATTTATTCTGGCGACGACAAGTCTATTTGTCTAAGTCTAAGTCTGTCAATTCAAAGCTTATTGATTATCGAGTTTCCTTTTAGGGGAACCGTTTGGATAATACTAGCGACGGCGTCATCAACCGGGAGTGTAATTGACTTCAGGGTTTCCCGCCTTCAAAGTCTGCCTTCCCTGTGAATGATTTGACTTTACTGACAATGTTTTAAATAAAATCTCCAATGAACAGAACCAAAAGAGAAATTATTTACACTTCCCGTTGACGTCGCCGTCGTAGATTAGTACAAACCTTAAGGTCCTATTGATGATGTTGTGCGTGTTTTGTTGCACGCTGCGTAAAACTGACCATTTCGTGGCGAGATCTTAAGCGTCTCTTTAGACTCTGGTATTCCGACACTGAAGACAACTGTAGGTTCTCTTTTCCAATTTAACGAACACTTGTGATTGGTATTAACGGGTTGCAAGAATTCTCAAGAGAGCCAAGAGACAAAAACATGGTGGCCATTTTGGTGCCGTTAACAATGGATGCTATTGAGAAATCTTTTAACTCATTTAAATCTTTTAAATGGCCTCAACGCTCCCCCGAGAGGCCGCGAATCGAAGAATTCTCACTTCAAATTTTCGCGAATACTTTAGATGCCATTTTGGTACCTTGGTAGAAAATAGCTACACGGACGTACGCCGCCTCTCACTGCTGCGCTGTGGTCGTGGGTGACGCCGCGATCAAATCTACTAACTAAATACCATGTAACGCCGGTTCTACACCCTTTTAGGACACCTCTTTCAGTACGATAGAGTGGTTTTCAAAAACCCGTGAAAAACACTTTAGCGTATTACACTTTAATACACTTTATTGTCGGCATTTTCTTTTGATTTTCTTTTGTGTTTTTGGTGTATTACAATTTATTACACCTTAGTTATTACACTTTGTTTCACGAGTTTTTGAAAACCACTCTAAACATAATGATAGATTGCATACCATATACGTGAAAAACTTTGGAAGAAATTGCACACATTTGCACAAATTAGTAAGTTCAGTAGACCTCGGTAGACCGTAGACCCACAAAACTTTGCACTATATAGATTGTACAATTTTGTTAACAGTTTTCACGGATATATGGTATGCACCCTAGTATGCTAGCTTGTATAGCTTTTTAACAACTCAGACAAAACGAACACAGTTTCGTTCCGCAAGTTCCGCCCCCGATCGAGTCTTAACATTTTTTGTATTAATGATCCGGCAAGATGAAGTACTTCCCAGTGGAGCTAGTGGCGATACATAATTGTGCTTGGCGGTAGACGAGTCTAACACTACGTAGTGAGTCTTTTTATTTTTTATTTTTTGCTAGTGAAATTCAAAAATTTTTAAAATGGACATCTGATATTGACTAATAAAATTTTTGGGTAGTAACCTCCGAATCATGCAAAATTCTTTCAAATTTTATCGAACCCTGAAACGACCTCTGGGCTTATCTAAGTCGAGGTACGTCGAACTCACAGCAAACCTGAAACAACCTCTGGTCTGATGTAAGTCAAGACATGGCTAACTCGCAGATCGAACCCTGAAACAACCTCTGAGCTGATCTAAGTCAGGGCACGGCTAACTCACAGATCGAACACTGAAATAACCTCTGGGCTTATCTAAGTCGAGGTACGGCGAACTCACAGATCAAACCTGAAACAACTGGTCTGATGTAAGTCAAGACATGGCTAACTCACAGATCGAAAGGCTAGCATATAAGTATTTGTATTGTGCCATACCGCAGGAAATCGAAAACAATTGACCCATACATCCCAATGTCTAGCTCCCAATCCTGATAGCTAAGCCAAAAGAGTTGTTTTACAATACTTCTTTCCATCCTGATATCAAAACATTTTTACAACGAGGACCGTAGAGGAACAGTGAACCTTTATGAATTGAAAATATCCTGAAGGTGGGCAGCTTGCGAACTCATAAACCGGCCAAAATCACATTCCTCGGTTAATTTTTTTTCAAAAATAGAAAAACGATTATTCATTTACAGTGAATAAGCTTTTTTAATTCTTCGACGAATGATACCACAATAAAACCAAAGGGATAACCGTTCGAGGAAGTACGTTGTCGCTTCTCTTACATACGACTATACACAGTGTCATTGATCGCCTACACATTATCGATTCAATCTTAAATAAACACAAGACCAGTTATAAATAACCTGGCTGGGGTATTAGGAAGTTATTAATGTATACGCGTAGTGATTTTGTCTACACGTTATCAAAAGGATTTGTTATGTTACTTTACTTCCTTTGCGGAGTTTTATTTTCGCGGTTTTCCCCTTGGTTTTTCACTGTGACGTCACACTATCGCAATTTTTTATTTTTTTGTTTTATCAGAAAAAAGAATGAGCATTGAAATTGTTCATATAGATTTTAGTAACATGGCAATTGTTTTGGAAAGATTGCCTATAATCCAGAGGAAGTATGAATCTTTGAACCTTACAACTTTACGTTGAGAATAGCCGTATGTTGGCGGGCAAATTTTGCAGCCGCATTGTCAGAGTTTCATGCTTTTGAAAATTCATATTTTTGATATAGTTTATCATATTTACGTGCGATCTTCACGAAATTTCACAGTTTCACTCATGTCTCTATGATAACTTTGAATATCAACTCCTTTTTCAGATTAAATTTTTGTTCTACAGCGTGAACGTCACATGAAAAACTCTCTTGGATTTAATCTCGTGTGAAAATAGTTTTTCACTCTCAGGAAGTAGTTGGCCGTGTAAGTGTCATGCGCACGTCATAACTGTAGCCAGACAATTGTCCGGTTTTGGTCTTTTGAGAAGAGAATGAAAGAAGCAATATATTGAAAGGGAGTGACAGGAAAATGAGAAAGAAAGAAGGAATGAAATTACTTCAAGAAAGAAAAGAGAAAGGAAGAATGCAAACCGAATAAAAGAAGAGGGAAGCATTGAATGAATAAGGAGAAGAATGAAAGGATAAATAGAGGAAAATCCGACGCAAGTCAAAGGGAAAGCTGATTGAATGAATATAGATGAATGGAAAACTGAACGAACGAATGAATACTTGAGTGAATAAAGAAGAGAAAAACCGCAAAAACTGACTAAAAATGTAGAGGGGAAAAAGACATTATGAAGCGAAAAGAAACATGCAGTTGAAATGGAACTAGAAAACTAGCATAGTCCATTCTAAATACATCTTTCATTAAACAGAAATGAAGCATACGAACTGTATGTCAACACCTGATTACATTTCAGTTATCTTTACTGGCCCTGGTGTGACATGACACTAACTGTAAATAACCAACAAGAATGATCACCAAAATTTTAATATTGCTACATATTTAAGATTAAGATGCATCCCTAGACCTTGACTCGATTGAGTGACCACGAAACAAGTCGAAGTTGGATTTGATAAAATACAGTAAATGTGTGTCCAACCTCAACTTGGAAGCATTGCTTCGTGGTCACTCAAGCCAATTCGGGAAAGGCCTACCTAGTATTACAATAAGACTGGTCAGGTCCCTACCCTACCTGGGGTTACAATAAAACTGGTCAGGTCCCTAGCCTACCTGGGGTTACAATGAGACTGGTCAGGTCCCTAGCCTACCTAGGGTTTCAATACGACTGGCCAGGTCCCTAGCCTACCTAGGGTTTCAATACGACTGGCCAGGTCCCTAGCCTACCTAGGGTTTCAATACGACTGGCCAGGTCCCTAGCCTACCTGGGGTTACAATAAGACTGGTCAGGTCCCTAGCCTACCTAGGGTTACAATAAGACTGGTCAGGTCCCTAGCCTACCTAGGGTTACAATAAGACTGGTCAGGTCCCTAGCAATGTACATGCTAATAAATATGCCATGCAAGAGCTAAATAATAGAAATAATTTTTCTAGAAAAAGGAAGCTTCCTGGGGCACTTGATAAGGTCATCAATTTATCTTCTTTTTTACAGTTCTTATCTATTTCCTGTATCATTCAAGTGTCATTCAAAGGCAGGCAATGGTAGGTTCAATTAATGTGCTGGTACCGGAATCAGCAAGCCTTAGTTTATGAGCAATTTATGACATATCTTCTCGTGCTTCACTGACACTCCTATCACACGTGAACTGTAACTTCCCTTAGTATTAACTGTCCATATTTAGCGTTGTCAGGTCATCTGACCAGAAACCAATGACAAGGTGGAGTCTCCCAAGCTAAACCTAACATTTCCTCAAACGGAACCACCTGGCCAATTCTTGGAAAAAAGTCATTTTTATAMACCTTGATCGAAATATGGCGACCAATTTTAATAACTATTGTTTACACTGACTAGTGACTGACTCAGCCTCTTATTCACGTGGAAGTATAAAAGCGTTTTCACATGTATGAGAGGCTAGTCAGTCGCTAGTCAGTGCAGAACAATAGTTATTCAAATTGGTCGCCATATTTCGAYTAGGTGTATAAAGTAATGGAAAAACGCCAATCAGTAATTCTGCTACCAAAAGGAGTCTTCTTTTGTGTGGCATTTTGACACGATGTCCAGCCTTTAGGCACCGTGTAACTATTATCTTAGTGACCACATTTGTATTTATGAACAAATCGGTCATAAGGGTCTTTTACCAGCCATCACACATCCGGTCTATTTGCGCACGCTTGCGCAGTACGCATAACAAGGCAGAGGTCTATACGATATAACTGAATTTCCATTTAGAGTATGCAAAGTGCCTTCGAAATTCTTTACCAACCCTAAAATGTCTTAACAAAATTATCTACAGTTACCTTCAAGAAATTTGTTGTCACTTTTTTTTGATGAGTAACGCAATCCTAACGCCAAAGCGTAGCCCCTGTAATGCCTAAGGGATGAATGGCACTCGTAATGTTATAGTCAAACTCTTATATCGCAGTCACAAAACATTAACCTTTTGGCTGCACATGATTAATTCAGTTATTATGTCTTCCGCGTGGTAACGCTGAGCTTTTTCATTACGACGATTAAAACGACATAACATCGACGTTACCAGTCCGTTATTCAGTCATGGTGTCGAACCGGCCCTGAATTTTTGCAGCGCGAAATAATAATTCAATTGTCGTTATTACATTTATATAGCACTCTCTTTTTACCTCTAGGATCACAATCCTCTCAACGGCATCCTAAAGTCCTATTAACTTCGTGAAACTTAAAACCCAACAAAGGGAGCCAGTTTCCCCGACTCTTGAACTTAGGTCACTCAGTTGATGATTAATTGCGCAAGTCTCTCAATACAAGCATCAGAACAAGACCCCAGTCGAGGGATAGAGGAACAACCCTGGAATAACAACAAGACCTCGAAGCACACTAGCGACGACCATAGACCACTACACTTGCCAGCTTTTTCGGAGCAAAACACTAGAAAGATCTAGACTAGCATCACGAGTACAATATTTAAAAAAGAAATTGGCTTTAAGTGCATCGCAAGCTCACTGTGATATATTCTAGAAAGGCTTACGAGCCGATTGAAGCTTCAGGACTACGAAGGGACTAACAATGTACCTTTTGAGGATCATACAAATAACCACTGGATTGGTTTTACATTCATGGCTCTACCAAGACACAGATTGTTTGAGGGACAACGCTTTCTCACACATCGCCAAGGTGAACTTACAATATGGTAAGTGGAACATTTTACCTAAGATTGCCTGATATTAGATAAAAGTAGAAGCTTAACCGCGACACAGGGATGGCTCTGAAAACTTTAGTTGTGTTGAAAAGCTCATTAAGACTTAAAGCAGCATATTTTTCAATTATATTAATTATTTTCTTGAATCAAATGTCTAGTTTAATGCTGTTTTTAAATGGAGAGGAAATATTGGTCACGGTCCGATGTCAACCACAAACCATTCGTTAACCCAACAAACAACATAGTGGCATGGATGCTGTGCCATTGTACTCTTGATATTTATTGTTTTTCCGGCCACTAAAATCCTTGGCATCTCTAGAATATACTAGCAGCGGTGTCTTCCGGTCTGTTGAGTCTATAGACGCGCTGTTTTCCTTAGACGTTTCTTTATTTGTATCAGGGCTTTGTAGGAAACAGCCTTACAGATACAATATCAGTTCGTTTTGATAAACGTAGATATGAGTAAGCTTATCGCAGCACGTAACGACTGCTGATCATATATTAAGCGTCTGAAAATCGAGGGGAATACGTGACGAAAATCCTAGAAAAGCAAAAGCTTTTTTCAGTTCAAATATTTCTGTACAAATTATAAGAGTATAAAAATTTTAGTGGCTTCGTTTCTATGTGTGATATTGGCAGGTTTTTAAATCAATAGCCACTTACCATAGTCCAAAAACTGACATCTTTCCAACTGTGAGTCACAGTCGGACCAAAGAAATGAAACCCGAATATTCTGACTATAAATGACCACTTACTATTTGTTTGATGGAGTTTTGCATTTGAACTCCTTTGGATTACTATGTCTTAACGCAAGTCATCAGACCTTGTAAACTAGAATGGAAAAAAATATATCGAAAACTTGCCGCATAATAGGAATCACTCGTTTTAGCATAAAATGATTTTGAGCAGGGGAGTAAGTAGATGCTTTTTGGCACTGAAATTTGAATGGTTGGATTGTCTTTTGGTTTTCTTATGAAGAAGCAAAGAAATTATGAAAATGGCGGGCTTTAAGCAAACAGAGTTAAGATAATGTACACAAATACGTACTAACTTTGACACAGAAGTGCAAACTATGTGCGCATTCGTGCCCTTGAACTATACTATATGTAATCAAAACAACTCGCTCAATTCACCTAAAATGATTCACATTATACTCGAACACTTCATCAGTCTCGTTTTGTGATTTTGGCCAACATAATTCAATTTATTTGCAAATCTCCAATGCTTGCAGGTTTAAAACTGCGATAAAATGCGATAAAGATATCAAAGTCTTTTATTGCATTGTCATAAGGTAATGAGAAAAGTTGTTGATGTGAGCCCTGCCTATTTATTATATTTTTTTGACACAATGATTTACTACTGACCCAAACGCATGAATAGTCAGTCGTTAGGTAAAAGTCAAGGGATGGGCTATCTGCTACGGTTCAGCAATCTCATCTGTGATAAACGTTGTTTCTTGCAAAAGCATTAGGCATCCACGTATTTATGGCACTTTGACAAAAAATATCATTTACGACGAACTTTATATGCGAATGCCGATGGACCGAGTATTGACTTTAGTTTAGCCAAAATATCATATATTTGAGTATGTGCACTGATCACTATCTTTACCTAAGTGTTTGAGTCTATTAGCGTTCCAACATGCAAAAAGTGCCCAAAATTTGCACCACACCCCATGAAACATCTTGTGTTCATGAGCCGATGAGTTAATACTTAAAAAATTTCATTCGTCAAGTTCGTAAGGTCGATCTTGTAAAACCTCCGACTTGTATAACACAATATAACACAAGGCACCTCATTCAGGCGAAGCGAAAATATCAAGTTTTGGTATATTAAATTCATTGAATAACAAGAAGATTTCGATTAAGATAACCAATGTCAAGGATTACAATTCTATTTATAATGCGTCATGACAGTTTTCCATTGAGAATTTTTATAGATTTGTTTGAAGAATGTGTTTTCTTTGCTGATTCGATAAGTGACAAATGTGGTGGCGAAAGACATCAGCTGTGCTGGATTGAGGGAGAATAATGGCCCAGTCCATTGCTTCGTTATTACGGTACTATAGCGCACGAACTGTAGCACTCTTTCGAACCATCTTGAAGTCTCTGATCGATGACAGTGTCGGAGTGGACTCTGTGAAGTTACTGTAAGATTTTTCTAGTCTCACTCCTGTCGTGTTGCTCTTGATGAGTTAAGTGCAATTACATAAAATAATAGGGAGCCAATCAAGAAGACATTTGGAGGCAATCRAGGAGACACGTAACAAACTAGGTATCAAATTTTACAACTTTATTTTTTACTGAAAAAGTTGTTGGTAAATGGCAAATTTTGGTATCAAATTACTTAAGTCGAAATAAAAATATTGTGTACTATATCACAAAAAAGTTCATTGCTTTTATTCCTTGAAAGCTATATGTTATGAAGCAGAACTATTTTCGTCTCGTTGAAAGGGTGCTGTCGACAAAGGAGGTATTTTATACAAAGGAGGCCGAAACATCTCTGCCGTTGCGTAGTTGCGGTCTTGTCTTGGGTTGTTTCCTTTCAACAGTTTTTTTCCCCGTGAAGGTTGTTGTATGATCATGGTAAGATGGGTCAGCAAATACATGTGACCTAGCATGAACATATTGGTAAGGCTTTCAGATGTTCATATTTTGTGTTGGGTTGTTATGTATATGGAAGTTTAAATAGGTCTTATAAGAATTATTGATATCTTGTGGTGCTTCTTAGGAATTATAAATGTTTTTGGGCGTTCAATAGTGATCGATCCTATGGTCGACTTTATGGTCGATCCTATAGGCGTACTTGTTCATTTGCGTGTTCAATTTCGCCCAAGAATACCGACCTGGTCGCTTTGGAAAAGTTGTCAGGTTTATTCCTGACAGGTTTATTGTACTAGTCTTTTACGATGTTCCTTTTATGAGCAAACAGAAATATTTCTGAATAAATAAAAACCAGACAGTATGCCACTTTTGACAGGTTTTCGTTCTGCATCTCAATATCCGTAGTTTATCCGATGCTTTTTCGCATTTTTCATGAATCTAAAAGGTCTTCGTTTTTTCAACTAACGCGGAAGTATTTTGCACAAGGAACAATAGACCCCTTGTCAAAATGGCGGCCGAAAATTGAAATGCGTTAAATTAAAAAACCAATAACAGAACTGGGAAGAGCACCTTTACTTTAGTTACCCTACGAAGATTCATTTTTACCCCGGGACATACGAAAACCTGTAAATTTTTCAATGTGCAATTTAAGTTTTCTCGGCCGATATAACACCTGACATAATGGATCTTCGTAGGGCAACAAAAATAAAGGTGCTCTTTCCAGTGCTGGTATTGGTTTTYCTCTCAGTTTAATTTTAACTCAACCGAATTCGCGGCCGCTATTTTGGTGAAGGGTCTATTGTCGATTCTTTAGGGAGGGACTTCTACCATTAAGTATAGACATAATTCTTATTCATGCAAATGCAACTTGAACGTTCTTTCTACAACTTTCTAAAGGCTTTTTTCCCTTTGCCAAAATGGCTGCCACAAATTCAAATGAGCTAAGATTAAAAATCTGTACCAGCAATAGAAAGAGCAACTTTACTTTAGTAATCCTACGTAGTTCCATTATGTCAGGTTTTATACCGGTCGAGAAAACTTGAGTTGAAAATTGTCAAATACATTGTACAGACGTTTGTATGACTGGAAGATCCAAGCCACTTGAAAGTGGAGAGATAGAGGTCTTTCAAAGACAATTCGGCTTACCGCACTCAAATTGAGTGAGGTTTTGTCGTAAAGCCCGATCAACCGAAGTACATGGACAACCCAAACAATAATTTTTAGAAGCATAATTTAAGTGGAATAAACATGTTTTTGTAAAGGTCCAGTAGGCAAGCTTCGGAAGAATATTGCGACAATTAATCATTGGCCGGGTGCTTTGAAAGAAGTGTTATTATATTTACCCATGTTAAACAAGACGTCGTCGGAGCCAAAATGGTGGGAAAAAAGGTCATTTCAAGACCAAAAAGGAATTAGCCATGTATCTTGTAGACAATGCGGAAAGCAATATTAACCAAGAGAGCCAGCATGGCTTCATTTCCCAATAGCTTCATTAATGATGGCTAGTTTCATTTATTTAATGATCTTAGATATTATCTCATAATTACAAACTCGTAATTTACTCTTATCTTGGAAGGAGCAATCTTATATCTTCTAGCCCGGTTAGTTTACAGTAGGCTTTGACAACCTTCTCGGAAATCGCCGATTTATATCTTGTAAAATAGTGCCCTGAATGAGATCTAGACAACATGTCCATCAGTACATCACAGCCATCATTTTTTTTGTAAAAGGATTAGYATACGCCTACGTCTTCCTTCCGACTTCAGAATTCTCCATTTCCTTATATAATCACATGCACAGCGTTCAGTGAATTATTTGAGTCGCCGTCTCTTATCCTTACCAATGCTAAAACTATGGCCGGAATTCTGTTACATATAAGTTTTAAACCTTCAGGTTTTTTTGGATGCTTGCATTGCAGAGACTTACTGAAAGGCTGTAGGGTTAAGCTTCTCAGTTTAAATAGTGTCGAATTTAAAGCATTCTTTTACTTACAAAAATCATGAGAAGGTCAATTTCAAATGGTACTAAATAGTGGAAGAGAAGCTTTACTTGTGCATTGCGAGTTTTAACTTAAAATAAGCAAAGATGAACGGAAAACCCTTGAAATTTCGCACTGAGGAAGTCCTCATATTTTATCGAAAGATAAAAAAGATTACAGTTTTTATGGCTCTAGGTGATATAAATCGGACGATGCATGTGGTCCCTCGTCAAGGAGGTGTTCCTCTCATAACTCCTAATGATGTTCCAAACTAAGACACTGCAGTATTCCGGGTCTTGAATGTGCCTTGCATGCTGTCGGATCGAAAACGTTGAAACAAAATTGCAAATGTAAGCACACACTTGTCTCTGGATGAGGTTAAGATGAAAGTGATCATGAAGAATTGATCCATGTACACGAAAACGTTGCAAAGAAATGAAGATCTCCATATTCATGTGTCTTCTCATGTGCAACCGTTAAACAAAGAAATCATACTCTAGGGAATGACACTTGATCTGAAGTGGTAAAACAGTGAATTTTCTTCCCTGGCTGGCTTCCTCCGTGAAGGAATGGTCTTCCTGTCCCGTTCGTCTTAAAATTCAAGAGTAGCGTGAAGGATTATATTGACGGCAATGACGGATTAATTAGCTGAAACTTCGGAAATAAGACAATGTGACAAATGCCATTCCAAAATGAACAAACACACACAAAAAAAGACGTTTCCCTAAGTTAAAAAACCAAAACCTCGACTTTTTAAAATCTTTTTCCCTTCATCTTGCTTTTTGAGCGCTGGTTTATTAGCTTTGTATGTATGCATTATGTGCAACTCTTGTCAAAAAAAAGTCTTCCATCCATCTATACTATCATTTTCCCAGTTCCTACGATAAGATAAAGTATATTTTAAATCCCTTGTTCAGTCCTCAACTAATTATAAGTATTTAGTTTTAGAAGTCCATTATAAAACGAGCTTCCTCTATCCCCAAGTGGGCAAAGAATGCCTAGGACTGCACAATCCATTGGCGAGTCTCCACTGGAGATCGATCTCACGTAAACTTAGTTGTTCGCGGAGAAGTTGAACGTGTGGGATGTCGAGAGGGTCAGTTGGGGCGAAATTCCTAATTGTAATCCCCCTTTCATTCATCGCATAGTTGACTTCACAGATTATAGGCTGCATGTACGTAGGTAGACGCACCGAGAGAAATGTTTTTTTTTTAATTACAGAAGTCCGGTAATGATTGAAATCTCTCGAGAATAAGTTAATTTGGCAAAGAATGATTTTGTAAGCTAGGTTGACCAAGCTATAACTTAAACCCTGTTCGAAACCACTTCAAGAGGATTAATATTCAAACACACCTCAGCATTTTGATTTTATATCGGTACGTTTTCATGACAAACCTTTATTCAAATTGGAAGCATATTTGCCTTGCGGTCTTTGTGAGACTTTTATAATCTTCTCCCGCCATTCAAACGTCATTGTAAATCAAATACTACACTTGTTTATTGTTTCCTTATCTTAGTTAAATGTTAGGTAGATTTGTTTTGCGTTTGTTGCTGTACAAAATATGAGGAAATATAATTAACTGGAAAAAAAAAAAAAAAAAATCACACGTGAAATATGCTTTGGATTTTACAGAACGTCATAAAACGTGTTGTAGGTCTCTTAATTAATGCCATTTATCGGTATGTTTTTAGATATATATACGAGTCGTCACTTTCAAATATTCTTGACGCATTTCCTTTAAAGCCCCGTTTACACTAGCGATTTTTGCGGCGATTTTTGCTGCGATTTTTTTGCGATTTTGTCCATAATAAATAATGGTAAAGAATTTACTTGTAAAGTTTTTTTCAGGATACCAAGATTTTCCTAGACGAATGTCTCTTTTGAAAGATGAAAAATTGCCACGAAAATCGCAGCAAAAATCGCCGCAAAAATCGCCGCAAAAATCGCCGCAAAAATCGCCAGTGTAAACGGGGCTTAAAAAGTCCTTTCAGTATGAACCAGGGCAACGTGCCCTCATGTTGTACCTGATGTCGTACCTGATAGCGTTCATTATGCTCTCGTTGCTCGGCGTGCGCAAACCGTGACATCATCGGTAAGCCAAGACGACCCGGAGGTCCAGATTCTCAAGTGCAAAGCAGCCCTTAAAGACCATCGTTGTCATTTAAAGCATTCTTCACCCGAATACTCTAGATTACTTTAGTTGTTTTCATAATTAAAATCATTTCTGATTTATTCTATCTTCGATATTTTCCTGATTTTAATCTTTCGGGTTATTGGAGCCTCTGTTGTGCGTAACTAACGACGCTTTGACGTAATCAGTGACGAGGGAATCAGAAAGTCAAGAACGACAGTTTAACTCAATAAAGCTGTGATAAAATTACTTGGCACTTGATACGCACCTTCTGTTAAAACACTTAGTTATCGTCCTATAAGTCAAATTAAATTGTCTTATCCACTGTTCTTTATTAGTGCTATTCAATCTCCATACCTCCCAAGTCCCTTCATATTTTTTGGCTTCATTTCGTTTTAGGCAACAAATGGCAGCCGGCGTTTTATTTTACAAAACATCCATGACCTAACTAAAATTGGTAGGTCAAGCACTTAAACCGATGCTCGGCTTAAAATGCTCGGCTTACTCTTAATCATAAATAATATTAATAGCATTATACGCTTGTCTGCTTTCTGCTTATATGTAATGAATTTACCAAACGTTAATTAACTTCGAGTTAATTAATTGTGAAGGACAAGCCAGATTTAGGGAGCGTTGGAATTTTTTTCTCATTTCAGGGAATTCACTCGCAAATGAAATTGTTTAAAGATGTGTAAATTGAGAACTTTAACTGTTCTATGATTATGCTCTGTGGAATAGTTTTCATGGAAACATTGTTTTTCTACGCTTAACTCCATTCATTACATTTTCAGAGATAGTAGTTTTGATATTACTAAAGTGCGGTTTCTATATGGGCCACTTTAACCTGATTCCGCTATTCGCTTACAGTTTTCGTACATGGGAAATAATACATCCTTTTTAAGATAGGTGAAAATAATATCACATTGCGTTTTTTAAATAGGCTAAATTTGCCCTACCACCCGTATCGCTTATCGCGGCCTTCGCTTCGTGGCAACAAAATCACCGTAACAGCTAATCAGTGAAAGGGATGATCATTGCCTATCGGAACAGTGTTTAATCAGTGCTGCGTTTACGTCGAGAAAACGAGAGCAAACGGATTTACTGATAATCCCAAGCCACGAAGACCTTCTAGAAAATTCGAGATACAAACTAATTAAAAACTCTAGCCATTTGTGTGCAAGATACTTAAATCATCATTACAGAGGACGCTAAGTCAAAGAATTGGCGTCGAAATATCTAGAAAGACCTATTGTGTGCATTGATTATTAGTAACGAAAATGAAAACATACGGCACAAACAGAGAAGATGTTTTTAGACTAAATAACCTGAGAAGAAAGATATCTGCTAGACCAAACAAGCCCTTTGACTCCCACATCTATAGCTGTATTTTGTTTATAATATTATTGATTTATCTAAGCAACAACAGGGGTGGGGTGGGACGGGGGGCTTGTCATGGATGGGGGTGCAACTATTACATTTTATCATAAATTTGATATGAATTAGATGTCAATATCATGGATATTTATTCAAAAGGAAAACCTAGCGTTGAGGTTTTAGACTTTATCAGTGGCGTAACCAGGGATCTTGCAGGG